CAGCTAACGTGCCGTCGGCTAAGAAGATCATAGTTCACGGACCCGACGCCTCTGTCATCCCATCCCAGTTCCCCATCCATGAAGACACACAGTTCTCGCAGATTCTGACCGATAGTCTCGACTTTTTTGGAATCGACGACTCCAAGCAAAACGAGTACTTTCTCGTCGACTCCAAGACAAGTATTTTTCACTTACTTTTATCATTAAAATTAAGGATTATTTTTAAATTTCATTTGATTTTAATTAATATTTTTTGAAATTCAATCGCAGACCAAATGCATAACTTGAATGCATTCGTTCGGGACTTTTATTTCTTCAAACGTTCACAATATCCGCAAATCTCTTTGGTTCACATGAATCCCAACGATGCCTTCGATCGCCTCCAGAGACAGGCATTTACTCTTCAATTCGTTGAATTGGGAAAAGTATTTGTTTTTTTCATTTCGCCTATTAATCACTAATTATCTCTCACTTCCATTCTTTCAGACATTGATGTGTTTATCGTTAATTAAGTCCTCATTCCTCGGCATTCAAAGAGTACTCTTTCTTCACGAAGAGCTCATGAAATTGCCGTCATTTCCACGCAAAGCATTGGAGGCCAACTTCAGTCTGTATTCGGGAGAGACGGGTCAAGAGGTGTTGGGAATGGACACACTTCACAAGATTGTTTGGGTCAAACTCGTGGCCCGAATGTTTGAGGCCACCAATGGATTCTTCGCCCAATCGGCTGACATTCACCTCTTCCTCAACGTAGTGAACGGTTCGCTAATACTTCACTGCGAGAACTCATCGATGTTGAGACTATGTATGGCCACGTATATCAACGCCGCCCATCAGTTCCGCAATATCTTCGCTGCCAACGGCTATCTGTTGATCATTCCGACCATTTGTCGCATTTATTCCAACCATCAGACGAATGGTCTTCTCTGTCGCACAATTGAATTCGTTTGCAAACAGTTTTACATTCTTCACAGAAAGCCATTCGTCCTCCAGATGTTCGGAGCGGTGG